ATGCCCCTGGTCCCATCTTTCACTGTGGGCTAGACCAGAGCATGTGCACAGGTACAGATAAGAGCTCATGCCACACAGAATCCAGGTTAGATAAATCCCTCAAGCACAGAACTGGGAGTAGTGAGACCAGGAGGGTAAGGGGAAGGGGGGGGGGGGTTGAGGGACTGAATGCAATGATAGACACTAACCCCACCCCCAGGGGGTGCGAACCACAGAAACATGGGTGAAGGGAGACAGCAGTCTGTGTAAGATATGAAATTAATAATAATTTACAATTTCTCAAGGGGTCATGGGCGTGGGAGGTGGAGAAGGAGGGAAAAAAAGAGGAGCTGATACCAAGGACTCAAGTAGAAAGTAAATGTTTAGAAAAGGATGATGGCGACCTATTTGCAAATGTGCTTTAGAGCATGTGTGTATGGATTGTTATAAGAGCTGTAAGAGCCCCCCATAAAATGATCTTTAAAAATAATAAATAAATAAATAAAAATCAGCCGATGCAAACCTTATGGTTCACAATAAAATAGTTATCCAACAGTGCAAGGAGGTGAGCTCAATGGGTTGGAAGGTACTCAAAAAACACAGTGGCCACACAGAGGAGTCAAGCAAACAAACAATGATAATGGAGGCACAGCTACCAGCAGCACTGTGTTCTGTCGGACAGGCCACCAGAACTCTTGGCCGACTTGCTGGCAACTAAGAACTTGTATTACACCATGTACTTTCAATACGAGTCCCGGCTCTAGGCAGTTGATGGTGAACCTGGAAACTCTGTATTTATTGAAGATAGGTAAGTTGGTCATTTTTCTTTTGCATGTGCCTACCACGTATGAGTAAAGTGAGCTATCGTCCAGAAGCTAAATGCATGCTCCAAAGACTGAGGGGAGCCACATTGCAGTTAACAGACTGATTGGTAACAGGCTGCTCAGCTAACCTATATGGCTTTTGGTTCCAGAATCAGACATTTGACAAACTGTCAGGAGGAACGGCTGGCTCTTATGCAAAGCTACACCTGTTGGCAGCAAGCCTTTGTACCTTATTTTAACATTGTGCTGTTTGGCCTTCCCTCTTATTTACCTTTCCATGTAAAGATGCATCCCAGCTCCTTTTGAAGAGCTTGAGGGGACAAGCCTTGGAGTGAAAACCAGATGTGATGCTCTGCAGCCACTCACAGGAACATCCACTTTATCCCCAGCCAGCTGGAAGGGACTGCGGGCCAACTTCCCTCCCTCGCACTGGCAACTCGCTCCTGGCAAACAAGGTAAAACCTTTCCTGTAAAACACCCCAGTGAGCAAAAAAATTGATTAATTTTACTAAGAGGCTTTTCCCCAAAGCTGATGCCGGCAGATATTTGCTGAAAGATTTAGCCACTGGCATTTGCTCTCTGTGGACTCCAAGTCGGTCCATTCAGGTGAGGGCTTGAGCCCTGGGCCTGGGCAGGGCTGGATGGCTCATCCAAAGAGACTAGGGTGCCTATGGATAGGGCGGAGGTACTTTGTTCCCCCTCCCTGAATGACCAACTTTCAAATGACCATGGAAGGATTAGGGGGAGAGAGAAAAGGAGCAAATTAAATGCACTTGAGAAGGAATCCATTCTGTGAGACTCAAATGCTGCTAGGTCGCTGGCCTTTTCTCATTGAATCGTATTACTCTTCTGTGGAAAATCCTTGCCCGGGCCACTCTTCCCTATACAGTCTCATCTCCTGTGCAGGGCTCTGAAGGCCTCCCCTATTGAACACCTGGTCCAATTTCTCCACACCCTGCTGCTCATATTTCACATTCTAGGCTCTGCAAGTTATTTCCTCTGTGGCTCTCTCTGCCTCTCATTTGGTTGGCCCAGTGAACTCTTACTGATCCGCCAAGACATGACTAAAATTTCCCCTCCTCTGTGAAACCATCTATAACCTCCTGAAGTCAGTGATCTTTCCTTTGTGCCCCCAATAGAGATCTTTGCCGAAAGATACATTGACTGATTTAGCACCCCCGCTAAGTGTGAGAGGTGGGCATAGAGGCCTCCGTCTTCGTAATCAGTGGCTCCCCAGAGGCTGGAAAAGTCCCACGCCAGAAAGTCAGTTTTCAGTAAAACCGTTGAATTCAGTGTGGCAGTTCAATGATCTGTCAACTTGCGAAGGGGTGGTGTCTAGCTTGTCAATCAGGTCATAGCCAATGAGACCTCTGTGTGGGCATGGCCTTCTCTAGAGGATTCTGGGAACTCCTGTCTTCTCCCTGGAGGTGGGACAGACAATTCTGATGACAAGCCTGATGGAGCCAGAGCCCTGGAGCTGGAGGAGCCATGAGCCATGTGGAGACCCACTCCAGTGCTGAGATGCTTCCATTACTGAGCTGCTTCTACCACTGAGATGCTTTCATCGCCACTGGATCCACAAGGCTTTCCATCCACTGGCCTGTGATCTCCCTGCATTTGGTGTCATTGCATGTGTTGCATGAGTCTGAAGAGGAACTTATAGATTGGTATTGGACATATGGGCTGATATCGGACTTATGGACTTGATCTGGACTGGGCTGGGGTGCTTTCCTAATATACAATTACTCTTTGATATAAAGTTCTCTATTACACACATATGAGTATCTATGAATTTGTTTCTCTAGACAACCCATACTAACACATTGAGATTGAATTGCAGCTGTGTCATCTATGGACCCTAATTCAACTGCATAGGGCCATACAAAACAAGGATGCTGTTCATTAGCATAAAAATCTATAGGCCCATGAACATTGCCCTCTTGCTTCAAGAGTCCACCTCTTGCTGAGTCAGATCCTGCTTCCAGGATCTTCCATCCAATCCTAGGAGACCTAGTGGCATAATGGTTATGTTTTGGGCTGCTAATGTATTGTCAGCAGTTTGAAACCACCAGCCAGCTCTGTGGGAGAAAGACAGGGCTTTCTACTCCCATGAAAAAGTACAGTCTCGGGAATTCACAGGGGCAGTTCTACCCTGTCTTGGAAGGTCACTATGAGTCTGCATCGACTGGATGGCAGTTGAGTTTTTGTTATTTTTTCCCATCCTGTCTGAGGAAAGGGTTTCTCATTCCCCTTTGATCCTGGCCCACTCCTCAAAGTATACTTGAATTTTTCTACATCCCTCTTAATATGTTCTCCCTCAAACTGAATAGAAAATTTTGTATAGATCAATAGTTTCACCTCTCAACCTGTATTCCATATTTCTATTAATGAAGCTCCAAATCACAGTAGTCTTTGTAAGGAGACCATATCATACTCAAATATTATGATATTTTGCTTTTTCCTTAAACTCTAAAATCAATTCACATGTTCTACTGCTAAGCTTTATGCATATTTATGCACTTCAACTTTTTGACTCGAATAGAGGATTTGAGAAATACCCTTTTACATTTCACCTTTTTTGGCTGAGGCAGCATTCAAGCTTACTAAAATCTCTGGAGAACTTGATTCGCTCATGCTCCCTCTGCATTCCATCTCATCCGCACACCACTGGAAATGAGGGACGCTCTAGGGTCACTGTGACTTGGCATCAACTCGATGGCAGTGAGGGAGGGGGCAGGCGCTGTCTACCTTCGGTGAGGCACTGAATCAAAGTGGAAGGGGGCTGCGATAGGAAGAGAGTCCTCCAGGGTGACAGTGATCCAATTAGCATCATTTTCTTCGACATAACTACTCAACTGTTCAGCAAGACATTTGATCGTGTTAGCATTTAGCAAACGTGGATGGAATATTTAGGGAAAATGGAGTACTGGTGGCATAGTGGTTACACATTGGGCTGGAAGCCACAGGTTGGCAGTTCGAAACTACCAGCTGCTCCCAGGGAGAAAGATTGGGCTTTCTAGTCCCATAAACTGTTACAGTTTCAGAAAGCCTCAGAGGCAGTTCTACCCTGTCCATAGGGTCCCTAAAAGTTGGCATCGACTTGATGACAGTGAGTGTGTGAGTGTGTGAGTGTGTGTGTGTGTGTGTGTGTGTGTGTTGGGGGCGGGGCAGGGATAGGTCAGATATCTTACAGAAATCTCAATACAAGCTTTACCCAAAAGAGGTGTGGGGTTCAACATGACTCTATGAATTCATTCGCTATTGGCGAATCCACACATCATCTACATGGCCACAGCTTTCTTTTTCATCCCAAGAGTAACTGATTCTAGATTCCTTACCAGGATTGCTAACAAACCCACTGGGCTATTTCATTCATTAAAAACAGAAACATTTACCTAACTACTACTCCTGTTCTTTATGATTATTTAAAGGACATTGTCTATAAGTTAGAAACCACATTTGTAGATTTTCTCATAATTCACTAAAGGCATCTGACTAATCTTTTCTAATCATTTCAATGATGTTGATCTCTTTCTTCTGTTCCTATAATTTCCTTCACCACATTCTTGCTTACATGAAATGGGCTGACGTCCCTCCCAGTCCAAACCCTGTCTCTCGGAAATTCAGAATCCCGTTTACAAAATGTAGCAAGAGTGGAACCTAACAAGATGACCTCCATCATTAACAGTATCTCCTTATATGAACTTTGACCCATCATGGTTCTTATGGTTTACAGCAATTTTTTTATTTTTATACAGTGATCCCTAGGCCATTATAGTTCAGAAAAACTTAATACAAAGTTTCTGGATCTAAAGGTCAATGAATTATAATAAATTCTGATGATTTGTAAAGATTCGGAAGTATTGTTTCCTAGAGACTAAAGTAGTTAAGGAAGAAGGAGATCTAGGGCTCTGCTATCATCTATATATGAAGAGAATAACACTGATTGTCTTAGTGTTGCTGAACCACAACTTATCTAATGGTGGTGAAGCATGGGTGCTGATATTGTTAAAAACTTCTGTAACCATTACCAAAATGATTGACTAGGGTCAGGGATAGAGTTTGTGAGAATTAAACAGAATGAAGGTCATTGGTTCTTGGAGAGGTCAAACCTGGGAGTTGGCCTCATTATTACCAGGTTCAAAGCAACAAGCAATAATCCCCACAGTTCAACTTAATCCACGGGTAAAAGGATACGCCACTGTGCCTTCAGTTCTTCAATTTTTTTTAAGGACTCTTGAACTTCCTTCCACACTTCTTCATCACCAGTTAGCATGTCAGCATCCTTTTGAGGCCAAATGAAAAGACAGAAGCGACAAATAATCCAATTTAAATATGAGCAAAGCATATCAATAGATGTTTCCCTGAAGAAGACATACAAATGGTCAAAAGCACATGGACAGATACACATCTTCATTAATATCCCCAAAATGCAAGTAAAACCCCAATGAGCTACAACTTCACACCCATTAGGATGGCCAGAATAAAAGAGGCGGCTAAGTCTTGCAAGGGTGCAGAGAACCTGGGACCTCTGCACAACAACCTGGCAGTTCCTTTTTTTTTTTTTTTTTTGGCAGTTCCTTAAAAGGCTACAATCAGAGCGATCATAGCACCCAACAATTTCACTCCTAGGTATATACCCCAGAGAAATCAAAACACGGCCACACGAAAATTGCTCAAAAATGTTCCTGGCATTATTCATAATAGCCCCAAATCAGAGTCTTGTATGTCCATCAACTGAGGAACAGATGAAATGCGGTATACACATACAATGGGATATTACTTTATAAGAAAAAGGATGAAGTACTGTGATAGGGTTGGGTCAACTTGGCTGGGCCAAGATTCTCCTCGTTTGGCAGTTGGGACGTACCTTGTGACAGGGTCTGATATAATGTCGAGAGCTCCATCAGGGAATTTTCTAGGCGCAACAAAACAGTTGTAAGAGGGCTAGAGGGGAGGGCAGCCTACTTTCTCAGACCAAAGCCCTGCTGCAATGGAAAGAAAATTTCCCTAGGGGGTGTGGCCTACTCCCATTTAAGCAGACTCTATGGGAAGACTTTTTCTCTTTTTGCTTGTAGGGATCCTGCATCTGGCCTATAAACTTGTCATAGTGCCTGCAATTGGGGAAACTGTTAACCTTGGATTCATTAGATTTCACAGTCATGACCTTGACTTATTGCTTGGTTCACCTTCCTGCTTCCTGGTTCATCAACCTCAGAAACTACATATGTCAGGAAAATTTATGAGCCTGACTTGTTGACCTTAAATTCATCCACCTCTCCCTACACCTGCTTATGGTCTTCCTGATTTCTGGTTCCTCTTCCTGTTTCCTGGTTGATCAGTTCTGGGAGCTACATGAGTCAGGAAAGGCCTCCACCTTAACATCTGACCCAATGACTTGAACCAAATTGAACTTAGCCACTTCTGAACTGTGTGACCCACTTCCTTGATGTAAAATTCTTTATATTCTAGAGAACCCAAAGTAAAATAAGTACTGATATATGCTAAAATGTGGATGCAAATGAAAATATGATGCTATGTAACACAGAACTGAGGAGTGACTGCTAATGGATGGGAGGTTTCTCTTTGGAATAATGAAAATGTTCTAAAACAGACTGTAATGCTAGCTTTACAACTTGGTGGATATATTAAAATGATTGAATTGTACCCTTTATTCCACACGAGTAATATCTCAAATAAACTATTACAAGAAAAAAATACATGAGTGATAGAATTATTTTTTAAGAGACCTACAGATAATACTTGAGTACATAAGGAACTGAATCAAAGTTAGGCTAAGTAAAACAAATAGCACAGTTATAGCTACATACAGGTGACCAGTTCTAACTTTGACCCCAAAAATGTTAAAACATTAAAAAGCAATTAAAAACAAGAGTATGGTTACCATTTACTAAATGTCTACTGCCCTGTTTAGTAAGTAGGTCCTTACTTACTTATATTGTCTATTTGCCACTCTATCATAATCAGTACGTGGTGAACAAATGGCTGTAAACCATGTGCCCAGCATAGCACAAAGGGTTTTATTAATCTTATTACATTTTTAATTTACAATAACTCTTTGAGATATGTGTGGGCATCCCTAACCCCAGTAAGCTAATATGGTTGAGGAGTGGGAGTAGCACATACGGGGTCAGGCAGTAAGAGGGTACACTGAAGAGAATTTAAAACCAACAAAATGTTGCTATGATTTTTATTGTCACCATACAACAAGAATTTAAAACCATGTCAGTGGTGAAATATTCTTTTCTTCCAGGTCAGGGGCTCTCACCACCTTGCTCTCTGACACACTACTATTCACATCCCATTTGTAGATGACAAAACTGAGACTCAAAGAGATTAAGTGACTTGCCCAAATTCAGTAGCTTGGAATCAAGTTTAAACACAGGTGGGTTTGATACCAAAAAACTAAGATTCCTGTTAGTATATATTCTGCTTCTCGCACACATCCCTATAGTCTCTCTAGCATGCTCACTAAGGCCCTGGCTATTTTAAGGGGTATTGTCCAGTAGGATAGATCGTAGCCATATGTGAGGAGCCCTGGTGGGATACTGGGTTATGTGTTGGGCTGTTAACCACAAGGACAGCAGTTCAAAACTACCAGCTGCTCCATTTTGTTCCATATTTTTCTCCCAGTCTAACCAGGACCTTCTAATGCGATCCTTTTCAGAGCAGTGGGTAACGGCAGACGGGCATTATCTAGTATTTCTGGATACTGATGACAGCGAGGTCCATTATTCCTGGGGTCCTTTCATCTGTCTTTTGATTTTCATTATTCTTTCCTCCTGGCGGGAGGGCAGGTGGGGGAGGGAGACCAATGGTTGCTCTGAGACTCCAGTTGCTACTCACCCAAGTAGGATACGTAACTTTGTCCTCATGACCCATGTTATGCCAAGGAACTCTGAGGTCCCCCATAACCGTGGTCCTGATCTCCTGGACCCAGGGACTCCCTTCTTCAAGGAGTTTGGTTATGTTTAAGAAATTTTCATAACTTTGAGAAGGCAGGCTTTTACCAATGATGCACATCTCCCCGGAGACTCACATGCTCCTGAGGAGGCTTATAGAATGAACACTGAGAATTGCAAAGTCAGCCTAGGTGGCTGATGGGTGTTCTTTGGCAGGAAAAAGAGGACAGCAGGCACTGAAAACCATAGGAAAGAGAGCCTCGAAGGAAGAAGCGGCAGTAGGTGTGTACAGATATGTGTAGTGTGTGTTTGTTTAATAGAGCTTAAGGATTTGTAAGTGTATGTATTGCATTGTGTATATATGTAAAATTAAACATCATAATAATAACAACCCACTGCCACTGAGTCAACTTCAACTCGTAGCAATCCTAGGGCGGTGAGCTGCCCCGCAGGGCTTCCTATGCTGCAAGCTTTAGAGAAGTAGATGCCACAACTTTCTTTAGTGGAGTGGCTAGTGGGTTTGCACTAGCAATCTTTCAGTTAAGCAATCCAGTGCTTAACCACTATACCACCAGGATCCTCGAGTGTAATAGAACAGGATGGTTTACAAAATTCCACCCTGAGCACACGCTACTTCTTTCATGAAGTCTTATGAAGTTCTAAATAAGTTCCTAGCTTTCCAACCACAACCCCCAAACTCACTTCCTTTGAGTTGATTCCCACTCAGAGTAACCCATAAGACACAGTGACACAACCTCATCCTTCTCTCAGGAGTGGCTGTTGGGTTTGAGCCACCGACCTTGCTGCCAGCAGCTCAAGGATGGGCTCACTAAGCCAACAAGGCTCCCACTAGACCCAGAAGAGGAGGGAAAAGCAATTGCCTCTCATGCAGTAAACACCAGTCTCCCTCCAAATACCTGTTTTAAACCCATACTCGTCTTCCTAAAGCCTTAATTCTACGACCTCATTCTCCTACTCCGAAATCCGCAGCAACTCCCCACCGCTTCTGAGAAAACGTCTGCATGTTAAAATGAATATTACTGTGTAGTTGAAGACCCACTCTTAGTGACCCTGTAGGACAGAAGAGAACTGCCCCACAGAATTCCCAAGGCTGTAAGTCTGCATGCAAGCAGCCTGCCACAGCTTCCTCCTGCAGAACAGCTGGTGGGGAGAAGCTGCCGACCTTTCCCTTAGCGGTGAAGCCCTTAATCACTGCTTCACCAGGGCTCCTCGGCAAGCATGGCCCTTCGTAAGTAAATGTCTCAGTTTTATATTTTACGGCTAGCAGTGCAAATCCTAGGCTCTAGGGAAAAAAAGTGTTGTTAGTCTACATGGTAAGTAGAATAACGGACGCCCAACGATGTCCACATCCTAATCCTCAGGAACTGTGAATTTGGCAAAAAGGAATTCAGATGCGGGTGGAATTAAGATTGCTAATCAGCTGACTTTAAAATAGAGAGATAATTTCAGATTGCCGATGTAATTTGTTTGAAGCCAGTGTAATCACAATGGTCTGTAAAAGTAGAAGAGGGAAGCCAAGAAAAGGTCAAAAGGTCCGGGTAGTTCCAGGGAAGAAGAACTCAACCCCCTGTTGTTTGCTTTGACCCTGGAGGAAGAGGCCATGATCCAAGGACTGTGGGCTGCCCTAGAATCAGGAAAAGGCAAAGAAAGGATCTCCTGATCCTCCCGAAGTAACACAGCCCTGCTGGCAACAAGACTTCAGTCTGTGAGGCCTCTTTCAGACTTCTGGACTCAATGAAACTATAATATAATGAATCTATATTGTTTAAGACCCCGAATTTGTGATCATTTGTTATAACAGCAGTGTGAAATTCATATAGTCCCTAAGATAAATTCTGTTTTTTTCTGGCTTTGCACACACCTTTGTTGTACCTGACATTAATTAACTGCCTCATTTACTCAATCAACATGTATGAAAAGCCTACTATCTCTAGACATGGATTGATAAAGTGATGAATAAATTAAACTATCATGGAGTAGGAAGAGCTTGGGAAAACAGAAAATAAATATATGGAATTATACATTTTGTTAAAGACAAGGCGGTAGGGACAAATAATCAAATAAACAGGGGAGAGAGGGGGAGCATACTGGCTGCAGGGAGCATAATTTTAAACAGCACGAAGGTCTCATTGAGAAGTGGATTTAGAAGTAAAGATTCCAGAAGTGAAGGAAGAGGAGACAGGAATTCTGGGGAGCGAACAAGTGCTGCTGTGCTGAGGCAGGAGCGTGTCTGTGTGGTCCAGGAGACTCCAGGAGTGTGTGTGCAGGTCATTAGAGGCTGTAGTCTGTGATCCTGCCTCTCCCAAATACTTCACCCAGAGTTTTGTATGTAATGAATGCT